AACTGTAACAGTTCAGTATTGAAACACAGCCAGAAAAAAGCAATGACTGGGGCATTTCACTTCAATTCCTTTTCTCACAGTGCCAGTGGGTCACACCCGAAATTTGGCATTGCCTGTGTTCTCCCACTTGTTTGAAAGTGAGGAAACCTCCAGCCAGGGCACAGACTGTGCAGGACAGGCTCCCTCCTCCTGTTCCATGTTGCACTCCAGTGCTGGGGATATTTGAAAGGACTCAACCACAAGTTCTGTCTTCCAACCCGCCACCCTCTCCTCCACCTCAGTGAGTGCACAGTGCTGCCATAATCCAGCCTGGCCATTTTCAATCAAACAGTACAATACTGCACATGTCTCTTCGCCTCCAGTTCTGAACGTGTCCAGCATCTTGTACACCACCACAATAATCAGTATTCAGAACTTCCCTAAAACATTTTGAAACAGGAACTACATTCCAGCTCCTTCTTACCACTTTGGCAGAGAAAAATGCTCCAAATGGAGCTTACAGAGACAAAAGATATTAAAAAAAAAAAATCACTCGTGACTGGGGAAGGCAAAAGAGATGCACAAACCCACAGAAATGATGCCATTTCCTTTGAACAGCTACACTGACTCTTTCTAGAGGGGTGATTTCTGCAAATACAAGCACAACAATCAACTGCTGCTAAAATAGGAAAAGCCTCAAGGAGCTTAAGGAAAACACCGGGAGCGTGGAACAGAAAGGAGATGAAGATCAAACCAGAACAAACCAGCCCTGCTCTGTAACTCCGAGGGCAGAGCAGCCCAAGTCAGAGCAGTGTTTCTGAGAATCCCCTTCCGAGGCTGGGGAACTTCCCTGACCACCTGAGCTCTCCTTCCCTCCCACTGCCCTTCCCAGGGCACGGTGGACAGCAGGGACAGGGCTCCTCACGGCTGAGCACAGTCTGGGAGTAGCCGAGGGAAGGCAGCTCCTCTCACCTCAGCTCTGCATGCTGGGGGAGCTCTGCAGGGCTCATCTGCACTCCCTGGACTCTTGTTATTTGTTTTACAGTATTGCTGCAACCCTGTTGTTTTGTTTGGGTTCTTTCATGCCCAGTATCCAACAGAAACAGGCCTGTGTTCTGTGTGCACATCCTTCCCTGTTCTTCCCTCCAATTCCACCATCAATAATAATCAGTCTATGGATCAATTTCCACCAAACACAGGAAAACAGAGATCCCAAAATATGTAAGCTCCTCTACATTTTTAAAATATTAATTTCTTAGAAAAGAGATGTTTAATTCCTCTCCCACAAGCAGTGTCCTAATAAAGTAAGACTACAGGAAAAAACAAAACTATCGGGCACCAAAGAAGCCACATCAGTGAATCAGAAGAAAACAGCCTTCAAAAAAAATTCTACCGCTTGAAGCAGTGCTTACTCGTAGCGCAATTGAGAGCTGGATTTACTCCCTCACCCAACACTGAGATGTTACAGCCTAGTGAGCCTAACTTAGTTAAAACTATTTTAGAAAACAGATCCGTAGCCAGCTAAATAAACAATGGCATTTAGACAGGGAAATCAACCTCCCTTCTGCACAGGAAAGGCACATTCCACAAACCCACAGGAGTCCTCAGAGCTCTCCCTCCTGCACACACCCGTGAACAAAACCTGCTCCAATTCCCAAGGGACACTCAACCTGATTCTTCACAGAAGGCTCCTGAAGAAATGAAGCTGCCGTGGCAACAACAGGGTAAGGACAGAGGAAACAAGAGAGCAAACCAGATGCCATCTTTGACAACGGAGCAAGGCCACCAGGGAAGTCCTACAGGAACACAGGGCTTGGAGCAACCTGGCCTAGCAGAAGGTGTCCCTGCCCAGGAGCAGGAGACAAGCTCTGAGGCACTTTGCAGCCCAAGCCTCTCTGGGACACTGGGAATACCCGCTGGAGGCCAGGCTGGCACCTTGGGACACGGAGAACGCCAACGGCTCGCTGATGACAGCCAGCTCCTCACGGGAAGGCAGAGAGGAGCACCTGCAAAGGTGGGAAGAACAAACACGGGCTACAGGCAGCAGGGCTGGCAAAGGGAGGTCAGGAAAGGTGAGGAGTCCCCCAGGTTTACACCCAGTGCTGGGCTCCACACTGACACCCAGAGCAGCACACACCACTGAGGGCTCTGAACCTCCCCCTGCAGCACCAGTTTTCCCCAAAAATACTCCTGCCACTGACCTTGCATCACGTCTAGCAACTCCTTACCCTGATGGCCTGACTCGGGTCAGTCAGTGGGCAGAAAAATGCCCCTCCCAAGCAGATGGGTTTGCCAGGGAGGGAAGGGACAGTGAGCACAAAGGAAGGGGAGAGCTGTGCAGCTCTGGAGGCACAGACTGACCCCTTTCTCAGCTGTGGCAGAGCAGCTCAACCATCTTGTGCAATCCCACTGGCAGCAACAAGCTCGTGTGGTCCTAATGAACAGCCCTAGGAATTAACAACACAAAACTGGCACATTTATCATTCATTTAAGACGGAATTCATTACCCATTTCCTAATGAAGTTTCACTTGCCACTTATAAACACAAACATCTTCCTGGTCCTTGGGGATTCTAACCCTAAAAGGAGAGAGGGAAACCCTCATGTGGGGAAGAGCAAACAGACAGCTTGTTATTTGTTTCAAAAAAACACACCACATGCTATGCCCTAGTATATAAAAAATGAATCCAAGATGAATTGTTTTGATTTTTATTATTTTATTGGAGAAAAATATTTATTTAGAAACATTTCTGACACACAGGACAATCCCTATGTAACTCTACAAAGAAGTATCTTTTTCTATGAGCTGAACAATCTGTCAACACTGTTTTCACTCAGCTAACCTGCCAACAGAATACAAGCCTGCTATATGGAGAGTTACAGAATACAGACTCATTAGATTTATTTATAGAATAAATAATGTATCTGCTGCTGAAACCCTGCACAGCAAGGAACACAGTTGGCTGGGTGTTGCCTCATGCTGCTTTGCAGTAAAACATTACTTTTGGGAACCACCTGAAACAACCTGCCCTTCAGCTGAGGCAGGACAGGCTTAAGAATCCAACCTCCTGCAAATTCAAGCAGAGTTACCAAATTTATCAAGTTTATGTTGTCCCTACAGTCCTAAGCAGGACACACATGACACTGTTTGGCCCTGATGAATCTACTGTCCAACGGCCTCCTGCCATCTCCAGTGCACTGTTACCATTAAACAGCATTTTCCAAAATCCCAACATGCCCATGGAGATGCTGCAGAGCTGCCCAAGCCCAGGAGCACAGTTCCTCTGGGTTCCTGGGCACTGTCCCTCGAGGGACTCACAACCTGCCACGGGGTGAAATCATTGCCTACACTCAGACTGTCAACAGGGCATGGCAGAAATTGGCCAGTGGCCACAAAATCACCACTAAGGAGAAGATTCCCCCTGCAGCTCCTTCCCTTCAGCTCTTTTAGCCAGCTGAAAGTGGGATTTGTCTTTAAAAATATTAGAGTGAACCTTCACGAAACAACACTTGTTTTTGGAAGCATGTTTGCAGACTGAAAAGTTGAACAGAGGGTGATGATAATGCTCTCTAAACCACTTTCTTTCTAAGGCAATAAAGGAATATGTCACTGTGTTCTGATCACATCCTGAACACCCAAACCAACAAAGTTACACCAGTGTGGAAAAGCAAAATACTGCATATCCCTAGAAGGCCTGCTAGAAACAGCAAAACCATTATCTGCTGGTGAACTCCAACTTTGTAGGATTTCTTTCTTGGAAAAGAAAGAAAAGCAACTCTGCTCCCTTCTATCTTTAGCCAAAGGAGCAGACACAGTGGCACAGCAGGGGAGAGATGGCAATCTGCAACGGGAGCTTCAGAGCTCCACAGGATAAATGAGTGACTCCAGTGAATCCCCCAAACTTTAAATAAAGCAGGAAACATCTTGCAGATGTTGGTTGGCGTTTTAAGTCCTGAAGCCAGTACACCAGATTTAGACAAAGCACCTCCTTATCTTGGCACATGAGCCAGCATCGCCTTCTGGGTCTGGCTCCAAGCCCCAGCAGGCAAAGCCAGGTCTCACCCAGCAGTGCCGAGTCCAAAGTTCGGCTTTAATATTCCCAAACCACTTCAGTTTGCTGCTCTCAGTGTGTCTTGTGTTCACTACAGCACTGGCACTTTGGAATTTTCAGCAGGGTGGGCAAGTCTATTGTACATGTTACCAGAAAACAGATCACCAGTGTTACAATAAAAGCAAGTCCTTATCCCAGTAAAAGGATTTTTCTTAGAAAGCCATCACAATTTAGCATTTCAGCCCCATTGCATCCTTACACTTCTAGAGTTCATTAGCCTACTAAAACGGTGTTTAAATTACCAATATTTATCCACCTTATATCAGGGCAAGCCTTTGCAACAGAGGGAAAGAAAGGAGAGAATCCAAAGTCACCAATACAAACTTGGGGTATGTGTTCTTCTTTCAACTCAACAAATATTCACTTGTTGAGTTTCTGACTATCCCAAGGAACTCATTTGGTCAGCGCATCCACCTATTTAACGTTCACAAACCTTCTCAGCTACCAGAAGGTGACTGAAGTTGCAGAAGTCACAAGTCTGCACAACACAAGGGAAGGTTTCGGACAGGGACAAGAGCTGAGAAGCTCAGAGGCCCCAGAGCAAAGCTCCAGTACCAGGGTTTCAGCTGCCCTCACACCTTCTGACCAGTGCATTGTATGGGGGCATTTGGCCACAAATGCTGCCTCTCTCAGTGAACTCATCAACTTCAGCCCATTTTTAAAACACCAGGAACCACCCCAGCCCGTGGGCTCTGAACACACGGGTGGGGACCCGGCACTCTGAACCTCCAAACCTCATTAGCTCTGCAAAGGCACTGCTGTCACTACCCGCCCCCACTGCTGCACAACCACAGTGTGCCCATGACAAGCAGCAACCCAGAATTTCAACTGAACACACTCTGGTGAGCAGCCAGTAAAAATTACACCCTCTCAGAATAATCACAGTCCTACTGCCAGCCCCTCTGCTCACCAGGAAATCCTGCTGCATCACGGGTTGGCTTGTCATCTCCAAACCCTCTGCACCCACCACGTGTACTTTCTCAGGCTTTCCATCAAAAAGTCATCACGGTTGAGTCAGAAAGAAAGAATAACTTGGCTTTTAATTCTGTAAAAGTAATAACTTCTTCACATGGTCAGAACACCTTTCCACAGACAACCTTTGCCTTGTGGCCCTGTGATTTCCTCATGGATAGATGGACTGTGATGTAGAAACACTCATCAAATGTCCTTGCCATCTCACCAGAAAGGCAAAACTACTCTGGGTCCAGAGGATCTGGACTAGCCCTTCTCCCACACCACCCCTATCGCCAGTGTAATAATGGAGCAGTTGAGCAAGTCTTCAGAAGCCTGAACCCAGGCATTAATGTCACCCATCCCCCCAAACACAGTACCCAATTCAAGAGCAGTTGTGTCAGTGGTGTGACCTGAAGAAGGTTTTTTGTTCCTCAACAACTTAATAGATGCCATCACTAGACTAACTCTGCGCAGCTGAGAATTGTGTGGAACATAACCGCAATAATCTATACTTACAAAGCAGCTCAATTTAGTTTAATTAAACTCACGCTGTCTTAACAGAAACTAAGTTTTCTGACTCTGATATTGGCAGTCACATCCCTTTAAGCTGCTCTATGGATACTACTACTATCCTCGTTCTCCCAAGTCCCTCTTGGTCCCAAGCAGTGCTCCCGCTGCCTTTTCCGTCCCAGGAGCACGGGGAAGCCGAGCGTGGCTGCCCAACACTCCCAGCACGGGCCCGGCACCGTGTCCTCTGCTGTGCGTTCAGCAGCTTGGGAGCCCAGCCTGCCATCCTGCCTCTGCCCTGCCAGCCCCGGTCAGGGGGCACTGCCTGCACCCGGCTGCTCCGGGGGCACGGTCCCGGCCCGCTTCCCCCGGCACGCCGGGCCGGCGCAGCCTCCCCGCAGCCGCCAGGCTCAGCCGCTGTTCCCGCCCGCCGAGCCCGGGACAGCCCCGGGACTGCGTGACCCGTCTGAGCGCCGGGCGGGCCGGGCGAGCGCGGGGCCGCCGCTCCGGTAATGGGATGAGCAACAGGAGCGGGGGGTGCCCGGCCCGGGGCTGCCCGGCCTGTCCCCCTGGAGCCCGGCCAGGGCTGGGGCGGCCCGGGCGCTCCTGCGGGTCGGGTCCCGCTGGCGGGCCGTGCCGTGCCGTGCCAGGGCGGGCCGGGGCCGCCCCCCGGCTCCCGCAACTTTCCCTCCTCCTCCTCCGCCGCCGCCCGGGGCCGGCCGGGGCCGGGGCCGCCACCACCGAGCCCCGTGCGGCGGAAGCGCCTCCCCCGCTCCGCCCGAGCATCCCCCGCCGCCCCCGCGGGCCCGGCGCGGCCCGGCGCAGGGCGCAGGCCCGGCGGCGGGGGAGGCCGCCCGGGCCGGCCCGGCCCCGCGCCCCCGGCAGCCCCGGCGGGGACAATGAGATGGCGGCGAAGAGCGCCGCGCCCGGGGGACCCGTTGCTCCGGCAGGAGCCGCCCCGCCCCGCGCCGCCTCCTCTTCCCTCCCCTCCCCTTCTCCTCTCTCCTCGCACGGGCAGCGCCCGCTCCCGGCCCGGCCGCCGCGGAGACCGAGCGAGCGAGAGCGGCCCCGGCCCCGCTGCCCCCGCCCCTCGCGCCTCCATCTTGGATCGGCGCCTCCCGCGCGCTCCCTCCCCGCACGCCGCGCTCACCTCAGGCCGCGCGTCGGCGGCGCCCCGGGAGCGGCCCGGGAGCGCGGCGGGAGCGGCGCTGGCGGCAGGGTCCGGCGGGCGCGGGCCGGGGCCGGGCCGGGGCGGCGGCGCTGGCGGGGCCCGTTGGGCTCAGCGGGGCCGCGATCCTAAACCGCCACCTGGCGGCATTTCCGACCCGCTCGGCGCAGCCGCCCCGCGCGCCGG